GAGCTATCCATATGAGCTGCTGACTCTTTGTTTGTTGTGATGATGTTTACTGCGACATCAGCTCCCACTGGGCACAGCTGTTTTCTAACACAGAAGCAGCAGACGTGTTTCTTTTTTTAAGCCTTTTTAGATGAATACTGTGACTTAAAATGTGCAAATTATAACATAAGGAGCCACAGGTATTGTAGATTACAACTATACAGAGAGTTCAAGGACAATATTTGTTCAATCACTGTTGGGCAATTTACTTCAAAACTGTAATGCATTATTTATGACTTGTTACTGTCATTTCAAAGTAATTTGTTACATTACAATATTACTGTATTTAAAATGTAAAATATTACACGACTATTGCAGTAATTTTAAGATACTCTCACCAAAATATCTGTCGCTGATCGTCAAATAACAATCAGTGAGAGAAGATGCCGAACTTTTGCGCCGTATATGGACTGAACCAGGACTAAACCAGGACTGAACTGAGGACTGAACCAGGACTGAATCAGGACTGAACCGAGGACTGAACCAGGACTAAACCAGGTCTAAACCAGGTCTAACAGGACTAAACCATGACTAACTAGGACTAAACAGGTCTAAACCAGGACTAAACCATGTCTAAACCAGGTCTACACCAGGTCTAAACCAGGACTAAATCAGGACTAAACCAGGTCTAAACCAGGTCTAAACCAGGACTAAACCATGACTATACTAGGACTAAACCAGATCTGAACCAGGACTGAACAAGGACTAAACCAGGACTAAACCAGGTCTAAACCAGGACTAAACATGGACTAAATCAGGACTAATCTTGGACTAGGACTTGGAATCTAGGCCCGCCCCTGAGAGAACCCTGAGCCCATGGAGCAGGGTGTCCGCAAAGTGCGATTGGCCCGACCTCTGGGCCCGGCCCAACACTTGGAACTGTAACGATGGTGTTTCACCGTAGCTGATATTGAGATGATTTTAGCGAATTTGTATGAAGAAAAATGAAAAATCCACCACTTCGATCCAGGTTAAAAACGCATTGTAACACGTGCTACTGACATTTGTACCGAGTAAAATATGACAATTTTTTTCCCTGTAATGCCGAACATTACAGCCTTACAACAAAAAGCAATGCATTACAGTAATTTGTTACTTTTATAACACATTACTCCCAACACTTTTGTTCAATATTTGTTCTTTAACTTTATTACAGCTTCATGGTGCATTGCAGGCAAACACAGCGGCAGTAAAAAATGAACTAATTTTTACTTGTCAAGCCTACATTTTGTCATATTCAGCCTACAGACAAAATTGTACTTGAGAGTTTTATGTATATTTTCATCAAAGTGTAGTTTTTAATTTAAACTTTATTTCATCCATGAACAAGCCATTGAGGATTTGTCAGAAAGTCTTAAATATCATCTGGCTGACACACAAATCACAAGTTGAATTTCAGAACATTTTCAGAACTACGAATTTTTATGCAGAAAAAGACTGGATATTTGATTTGTGGAGGAAATTATGGCACTTCAAACTTGCAGTCTTTGTGATTTGCCAATTGTGTCCATTCAAATTGTGATTAATCTTGCAGCCTTGTTTGTGAATTTTGTTCCCGGACAATGGCGGTAAAGCATTTTGTGATAGTGACATGAATGACCTTGACTGGTTGTGTTGTTGTTGCATCCGTGTGGGGCTGTACTCTGCAGGTGTGACTGACTTCCCTCTGGGCCTGTGTCTGTGTCTCTCTGATGTGCTCCGTGTGAAGTCTGCACATGCCGGAAAAATGTGCCTCCTCTGTGCCTCCTCTGTGCCTCCTCTGTGCCCTCTCTTTGCTCTCGCTCATCCGGATTCATCCCAAACCAGAGCCAATGCCGACCTCATCCTCTGCATTCCAACTGGGACTAAACCCGGAACTAAACATGACCAAGAAACCATGACTAAACCAGGACTAGAACAGGATCAAGCCTAGTCTACTTTTGGCTTTTTGATTTCAGATGACACCGCTGCAATTTATAACATTAAAGGTGCATTGTGTAACTTTTCTGGTGGGTTTGTCAAATGCTTTTCTTCGTGAAGATGTTATTAATTCATCTCAAATGTTTCACAGTATGGTTATTAAACCTTTCTATCTTCATGGAGACCAAACCATGCCAGATCTGTGGAGAGGCAACCCCATTTTCTAGGTATTCTTGAGTTATAAAACCACCTGTAATTGGATAAAAATGAGAGAGAGCTGTTTAATGTCATACTGTGGAACATTCCAGGCAGAGCAGCCAATGACATATCCATAGAAACAAGCAGGTGACGAACCTCCAACAAAAATTTACATAGTGCACCTTTAAATTGAGGCTACATATTTATGATAAAGGTCTGAGCAAAAGACGCAAAAGTGGCGTCGCGTCTTCACTTTTTATTCCGCCTTTCGACGAGCGTTTTCAGGAGGAAATCTGCGTGCATATGGTGACGCAAAAGTGTGTCGAATTCGATTGAATATGCATGCCAGGCAGCTTGGTGGTGATGTATGTGACGTAAACATGTACACGACCTGAGCAGATCTGACCAGAGTTTTGCGTCTTGGGCAGTGTAGACAGAAACGCTACAGCGGAGAGTATTAAACTTTTCCACTCTGGAGGGTGGTTTCAGATTTTTGCATTTTTAAGCCCCAAAAACAGCATCACCGTCTAAACGAAAGGCACTTTTGATAAAATATTTTGCCGTTTTTACCTGCAAGCATTCTTATGTAAACCGGCCCTGAGGTGTGAGGAACATTGGCCTTGGTGATACAGTAGTTGTCCAAAAGCTTGGACTCTAACAAATAATCATGTCAAGCCAAATCAACACAGCTGCATTATGAAATCAAAATGTTATAAAACAATATACAGAAATTTTAAACATGTTTTTAGTTGCAGCTCTGTATCTATAACCAAAATGTTGATAGTTCAATCGCTGCTTTTGTCATGGTTCATGTTCTGTAGTGGTTGTTTTTGCTTATTTTGGTGTCTCTTTTCCCTTTAGTGTTGTCTGCTCTTTTATTTTGAAATTTTCCTGTCTGCTTGTAGTTTTGAGTTTACTTCGTGCCTTGATTGTTTGCCCCACCTTGATGTTTTTCATCTGTGTCTATGTGCGTTTATACCCTGTGTTTTCCTCTGCCCTTTGTTGGTCCATTGTATTTGTCTTTGTCTTGTCCTGTCATGGCAATTTAGTTAAAATTTTTGAATTTATGGGTTTTTTGTATCTTTTTTTTTTGTTATTAAAGAACATTAAGGCAGTCCTGCATTTTGGGTCCTCACCTGTTTCTTCGTGACAGCTTTAGCCAGGTCTTACTGTGTCTGTGTCTTTGGGCAAGGCACTTCCTTCGTCTCGCTTGCATAAAATAAGAAATTAAAGTTAAAGTTGCAATGTGATGATGGTTGTTGGAGAAGTGCTTGGTGTAGATTTGCAGTCTCGTCTCTGGCAGTCAGCTCAAGGGCAAATGTGGCTACAGAAATAGCTTTTCACCACAGTGAGAAATTAATGATGCAATGTAAATCACTTTGAGTATTATGAAAGGCATAATATATAAATCTAAGACTTCATAATATCTCGTTAATGGTTTATGTTTTCTCTATTACAAGAAGGAAAATGTATAAATATTGGGTCTATGTTTCCACAATAATTCAGCGACGGTGTCATAAACAAGCAGTTTGTGCCAAAAGCTCCTAAAAATAAGAGGGAATTTGTCGTCAGAAGACATCTGCTGTGAAGCCTACGCCAGTATGTAAATAATTTCACACAAAATGATGCAGTCATCCTTCAGGGAAAGATTAAGGGAAAGATGATGCAACTAAAGACAAAGTGATCTCACTCTCAGTGTTTTATATTTAGCATAATGACTCATTGTTTATGACACTCCAATATGGCCACCACAAAAAAAGAGTTCTAATAAACCACACATTAAAAAATACATTATATTTAATCAAGAATCAAGGCATTATTTAAAGGTGCATTGTGTAACTTTTTTGATGGAGGGTTCGCTTGTCTTTTGTTATGTTTACAGTGAAACGAATCACTGTATTGCCGTATCACTGTATCAGAAACAATTTGCGTCCAGACACGTCCTTTCTGTGTCCGCAAGCCTTCCCTATCCATCTATTTATTTACGTTTTACAGAAATGAAACTTAAAACCACATGGTTAATTTGCATAAACTAAGCGCTTCAAAAAGAGCTTGCCCCCTGTGCCCTGATGTGGTTCAGCTTCTGTATAAAATATGTGTTCTTTCTGTGACAGAGGGGTGTTCTGCTAATGGTGAGTCTGTTCTGTGCAAGTAGTTCTAGCTACGCTGTTTCCCATTTGTCTATGGTTTGTTTAAACTGTTTTCCACAATAGTGTCACATGACTGATGTCAGGAACTCAGCCAATCAGGAAGGTTCAAGTCACAGTGACGTGGTCCAATAAGGACGCAACTCGAGCTCCTATGTCAGCTTATCAACGTTTTCAGGTGTCCACACAGTGCCGGATCAGATCTATACTCAGATGAATTCGTGGGAGCTGGTGGCACGAGATCATTCCATCTCTGGAGCCGTTTTCTATCGTATTAGTGTGGATGAACACTGCATCCGCAACAAAATCGACTCTAATACGCACTAGTGTGGATGGGGCCTTTGTGGAGTAAGTTGCCTGGAATTTTCCACAGTACAGCATTAAACTAATTACATCTGTTTTTACTGCTGCACCTCCACAGGTCTGACCAACAACCTGACCTATAGTCACTTGCTTGTCTCCATGGAAATAGATATGTTTAATGCCATACTGTGGAACATTTTAGACAAAGCAGCAACATTTCCATGGGGATGAGCAGGTGGCAGGTTTCACCGCTAAAGTAAAAAGAAAAAAAAAACATTCTGCACCTTTAAAAACAAGTGCTGAACGTTATTTTAAATGGATTTCACTTTCCCAGATTACCCTGTCATAAAAGTACAATGGCATTTCCATTGATCTGTTTCCTCTGTTTGTATTTCAGTCTGAACCAGCATCAGGATGAGGGCCGTCTGTGGGATTGTGCTCAGTGTTCTCCTTTCAACAGGTAAAGTCAATTTATTAGATCTATTTCTGGATTATTTGTCAAATGTTACAATAACCTATATAAATCCTATTTTGTTTTACAGCACTGTCTGTCCCTTTACAATGTAAGTATTTTTTGCTGTTTTTTCTCTAGTTTTACAAATTTTACAAGATTAGTCATTGGATTTTATGGCCCCATGAAGCAAAAAATTGTTTGTCACATACACATGCACATAGTAGTTCTTATACCCTCTAGCAAGTAGCAAGTAAACACATGCACCAGTAGATTCATAAATTCAGCTCTCTTAGCCTATTTAACATTCACTGCATTTTGTAAAAAGCAAATTATATTAAAACATGCTCCTGTAATTAAAATTTGACATCTAATCACAAATCATGTTTGATATTGCCAGCTTCATAATTGCTATTGGCCAAAGAGTCTCATTGTGTTCCACTCTCCAGACCTTGCTCCATCTGTCATTGGCTCTGTCCTCGGCCAATCAGAGATTTTTTACAGCCAAAAAACACAAACCGCCCCTGTCATCTTATTAACATAGGCAGTTTATTTTTGTATTTCCCTAAAAACCTTGAAAAAAGAAAGTTATGCAGCTAACAGTGTACATCTTTTTCCTGTAGCGTCTGAGGAAACTGTGACTCTCTTCTATGGGGAGGACTTCCACATTTTGCTGCGCTCTCTGAATGTGGAGGTGACGTTCCGAAACAGGACAGCCCCGCGCACCCAAACCTCGGACGAGCCTTTGATGCGCGGAGGGAAGTCTGTGAGCGAGAGGGCCCAGCTGAACAGCCGCCTTAATTACCTGATCATCGAGTCAGTGACGGAGGCGGACGAGGGGCTCTACACTGTGAAAGATCCAGAGAAACCAGAGGAAGCCAAACACATTACTCTGATAGTGAGAGGTAAGACAATTCACACTGGGTAGATATAATAGTAACAGGAGTAATAGTTATTGCTGAAGTAAAAATCAAAATCAAAAAACTAAACTAAAAATACATACAAATATACAGTATTTACATGGCCAGTATAAATCAGATAACTAGAATAATCAGAAACCCCAATAATTAGATTTCACGCACAAAAGAAGTCTGATCATCAAAAATAATTGCCGACATGTGTTCCTCAATGTTTTTTTTAGAGAATTTTAAAATAACATAATTCATTCTTTAATCTTTTCTTTCCTTTTTGTCTTTGCCACATTAGTTTTGCATATTTTTCCTTGTCAAAACCAGAGATGGGGACTTGCAAGTTGTGACTTGGACTCGAGTCTGACTTGAGTCACTATTTTTAGGACTTGAGACTTGACTTGACAAAATGGACTAAGACTTAGGGCTCGACTTGGACTTGAAGGTCAATGACTTGGGACTTGACTCGAACTTGAGGCCTGTGACTTGAGAAGACTTGAGAAGCACTCTTAAATCTGAATTCTTAATGTTCCAACCATAATGATTCTCATTCAGACATTTAAAAATTAAAATTTGCATTTCTACAACTCTTATATAAATATACCATGACTTTTTAAGAACAATTTAGTTTAAAATGCATATAAATTGCAAGAATCTAAGCTATATTTGGTATTTTGGTTTAAAGACTTGAAATGACTTGAAGCTCAAAGCAGACGACTTGGACTTGACTTGGACTTATGGGCCAGTGACTCGAGACTCGACTTGGACTTGCCTGTATTTGACTTGGGACTTGACTCGGACTTGAGGTCAAAAACTTGAGACTTACTTGAGACTTGCAAAACAACGACTTGGTCTCACCTCTGGTCAAAACTTACACAGGTGTGAAAGAAAATAGCTTTTATGGGTAGTTTATGTAAGGATTAGTTCTATTTAAATCACAAACAAATTTTACATATCACCAACCTTTTACCCTGATATTAATTGATATTAGTATGTTCAGCAAGAGAGAGGAGTTTCCCTGAGAGAAGCAGGAGACGAATCAATGCTGTGTCTGCCTTTGTTTTAGCTCTTGTCCATCAGAGTCCTCAGAGTCTAGAGCAGGGGTCTCCAACCTGTACCTCGGAAGCTACCAGTCGCTCTCCGCCCCCTTTCAATTAGCTCGCCAAGGGATTACTGAATTATATGTATTGTGCTGAATGAAGTAAAATTTGATTGATTGAATGCCTATTACCATTGTACCATTTCGATGCCTAACTTTGTATACTAATAAATAGGGGTGTAATGATTTCCAAGTCTCACAGTACAATATTTTCACGATATACATCTCACTGTACGATATTTATTAAGATATTTTGTGGAGGCAAACAAAACTGTTAATATGCTATTTTTTCCTCTTAAAATGCCTTGACCAGACTTAATCCAAAGACTTAAAAGTGTTTAGAACTGTTATTTCTTCTTCTAGTCTGCACTGAAATGGAGCAAAGGATCATGGTCTATGTAGTTCCCTTTGTCTTTTTTTTTTTTTAAGCTATTGCTGCACCATAACTCTTAATTTAAGCAAAGAGACTTGGAATTCGATGTTTTGATGGTCCAGGATATTATTGTGAGAACTTTGACGATACAATATCACGATATTTCGGTTATTGTTACATCCCTGCTAATAAATGGATAAGAGTTTATGTTTTATAGGCATCTAACTGTACCGTGACTCTTCTATTCAATTTTTTGTGATTGCTAAAAGTAGTAACTCTTTGGCATTTTCGTTTTGTAAAAGTGTCTCAACTGAGGAAAAAGGTTGGAGACTCCTGGTCTAGAGAGACATATACGGTGTTGAAAAAGCCAGTATGTTTCATTGGTGGCACAAAAAGCATCACTTTTGGACACATAGATTTAATGATCCAGTACTGATCCCTGGGGTACACCTCTTATAATACTTTCCCATTTCAACCAGTATAAATATCTATATATGGAACGGCGTGGTATGTGTTTATTTATACAGGGACAGTGTACAGTGCAACATTGACCAAAGAAGGAAAAATGCCTTGTACCAGTCCAATGAGATTCATCTGGTCTTCCGATATTTTATGTTATTAGGTTCTTTTTACAGACCAAGAGTTTGTATTCATACCTGACAGTTTCGACTGCTCACTGCGGTCTTCCTCAGAGTCACGTGATGTTGCTGTGACGTGTCCGGTCAGCTGATTTATACAGGTTTTGGCGCTGTCTTCCTACCGGTGGAGGCAGGACGAGAGCGCCATCTGCAGTCCGACTTTCTCAGGACAGTATCCCAGATTCCCAGGTGTGTGAGAGTAAAAAAGCCCCCTCATCCCGGTTTATCGTCCTGTGGGCACGTTTCCGTATTTCGATGGCCTCTTTAATCCAGCGGGGATGTTTATTTTCCTCTGTCCCAATGATGTTTGCTCCATCCCGGCGCCAAAACATGTATAATTCAGCTGACCGGACACGTCACAGCAACATCACGTGATCACTTTTGTTGTTCATCTTGTTGTGATTATCTTTGAACTCTGTTTTTTTTTTTTTTTTTTCCCCTCAAACTTTTTTATTATATGTCAAAGAGTCAAGTGTGTGTGTGTGTGGTTGTGTTGATTTTGTTGTTTTGATGCTTTTTTGAATTTTCGTATCCTACTGTCTGCCCTACTGCATCTGTGTTGTTGTGTGGACCCCCTCGAAAACAAAATGGCAAGACATCTCAAGGGGCTTATCCTCCAAATAAATAAATTCTAAATTCTCTGAGGAAGACCACAAGTGAGCATTCGAAACTGTCAGGTATGAAAAACAAACTCTTGGTCTGAAAAAAAAATGCTTTGTACCAGGTTATAGCAAAACATCCTAATTTCGATCTCTAGTCTCTGGAAAGGTTGATGTTACAGCGTCGAAAACTGAATCTGAAAGCAAGCGGATACTTGACCTGAACATCGTACTTACAAATTCTATTCAATAAGGAATAAGGAAAAGCCCAGATCAAACACAAACCCTACTATAACTATTCAACAGCTCCATCCTGCACGTATAAACACAAACACCCGGTAGTCTGCTAATTCATATAAAGTCTAGACACTCAAATAAATTAAGTGAGAGGAAAAAAGAAGATGTTTAACTGTGTTTGTGACTCATCCTATGAAATATAATCGATTTGCTGATGCTGTCTGCTGCGTTAAGGTCAAAATGTGTCCATGAAAGAACTCATTCACCTCTTGATGAACGTCATTGAGGCTCGGCTGTTGGCTGCTCTCATGCTACTGCACTCCACACATCATTTTCATATAACTGTCAGTAGCAAGCTTGTAGGCCTAGTCTGTGTCAGATAAGAAAAAGTATCAGGAGAGGATTTGGGATTATCAACCAGCTGAAGGCCCTGTTTTTTTTCCATGTTGTGTTTGTGCAAATTTGTCTTGCCCGAGTACAGATTTATTGTATAAGCTGTTCTTGAGGTCAAAATAACATGGCTGTGTACTGTCTGCGTTTGATTATAGTGTTTTATTGTCAGAGAATTAGGAAGCTTCACGATTAGCATGCTAGTTGTTGACAGCAAAACTGCACTGGTCTCTGAAAGTTGTGAAAAACATTTAGAAACTCAGCATGGTGCACGATTACAGGGTAGCCACGGGGTCTTAAATTTCATGTCCCTAAATTAAGGCCTTAAAAAATCTTAAATTATGTTGTACAAGTCTTATTTTTTTTCACGAAGGTCTTAAATTTCATTAGGCTTTTTTTTTGTATACTCAACCGGGCTGCAGTGCGATGTTAAATGGAGGAAGGGAAAACAATCAGTAGAGTGGAGGAAGATGTTGGATGGATCATGGGGAAGTGTAGGTTTTTTTTCCACAGTGGCTCTTAGATTCTAGATAAAGTACCGGTGGTTGGTGGGTCATTATAAGAATTGGATCCGGTGTTGGATGCGATGTTGGTCTTAATTTTCATTTAAGTGGTCTCAAAAAGGTCTTAAAAAAGTCTTAAATTTGGGGTAGTCAAACCTGGAGAATCCGTGTGTCGTTCGTTACTTCGTTTTTCAATATAAAACCAAAAATAAGAAAATGAAAAAACAACAGTTTTCTTCATTATTTGTCTCCAAAACCAAAATGAAAAAACGGATAATGATTCGTTTTTTCAGTTTTCGATTTTGTGTTTAAAATGAAGAATGGAAAAAACGGATAGCGACCGTTTCCCGTTTACATGACTTCCGTGACTGCGATGATTTCTGCACCGCATACGGACTGAACCAGGACTGATCCAGGTCCGGGAACAGACCGGAACCAGACCAGGACTGAGACCGGAACCAGACCGGGACCAGACTGAGACTGAGACCACCAGGACTGAGACCGGGACCAGACCGAGACTGAGACTGAGACCAGACCGGGACTGAGACGGGGACCAGACCAGGACCACAACGGGGACTGAGACCGAGACCAGACCAGGACCAGACCGGGACCAGACCAGGACAAGACCAGGACCAGACCACGACCAGACTGGATCAGTCCTGATTCAGTCCGTATGCAGTGCAAAAGTCCGTCATCGCAGTCACAGAAGTCACTTAAACGGGAAACAGCTGTTATCCGTTTTTTTCCATTCTTCATTTAAACACAAAATCGAAAACTGAAAAAACAAATTATTATTCATTTTTTCATTTTGGTTTTGGAGACAAATAATTAAGAAAACAGTTGTTTTTTTATTTTCTTATTTTTGGTTTTATATTGAAAAACGAATGATACATGGATTCTGGAGATGCCTTGAATTAGAATGCTTGGAAGGCTTAACTTTGGATCACTGCAAACCGTTTGAAATGAACTAGTTCTGCAAATTTTTTAAGACAAATTTAGTACAACCCCTTTTGAATCACATTTTATTTTAAAACCAGTGCAGAGATTTCATAGATACAAAACTCGTCAAAATCATGATTTTCATGTTCCAAAATGTGTTACATAAAGAGGTCAGTTTTGCTACGATACAGAGGCTGGAAATTTTGGAGCAGTTTTCACATCTGGTTAGTGACGGCAGATCAGAGGCGTTGTTTAAAAAGAGTTTGAGGAAATGTTTGATATTTCATGGTAATGTTTGATAATCTTACAATTGTGGATGTTTCATTGTTTTAATCCATGTTTGAATCGAATGAATTTAATCCATGGTGTTTAAATGTAACTTTATATATATATATATATATATTTTTTTTATGCACAGCAATAATGTTAAATTTTTAATGTATTCATAAGGTCCTTTTGGGTTTTTTTCCTCTTCCAGCACCTACTTTTTTATCTAGAGTCTTTTTTATTGTTATGTTATGTTCAAAATAAGTAAATAAATAAATGTATAAAAAAATACCAAATTAGGCAACAGAAGCGCATGTATAGGAGTCTTCTTTTCCGCCGTAATCACAGGTTATATCCAGAAAGCGTTGAATGTTAAATGTGGCTCTCAGCAGTGTGTCTGTAGCGAGGTGATTAGACATAGATTTGCATTAGAGAGAAAGAGAGAGAAAGCTGATGGTGCAGAGCTGCAGAGCTATGCATGAAAAACCCTGATAAAGGTGACTGCAGTACCAGGCTTCTTCTTCTACTACTACTGCTGCTGCTCTGTATCCATTTAGTATTATAAGTACTTGAGCAGACAGGGACTTACTCTGACGTGTAGTTATTTTATTATTTATTATTTTGATTAGAACTAGTGGAGCTGAAAACTCAATAGACAGTGTTATATAAAGCGGATTAGAGCTATGGAGCCGTTCCTCTCTCAAAACGTACCTTATTTCACTGGCTTTTAACAAGTGACATGTACGTTTCTTGTTGTTGAGTATCTTTATTTTTTTGTGTATTGTGTTTGTATTGTGTATTTTGTTGTACTGCGATTGTCCTTGTCTATCTTGTGTTTTTGTACAGCACTTTGGCCAGCTGTAAAGTTTTTAAAGTAAAAATAAGATGATGGTCAAAATAATATTAGTGTAGGTATAGAGACTAAAAATGTTTATTTAAAAATGGGGGGTAAAAAAAAAAAAGGAAATGCCTTTAAAATGATGCTTTAAGTTTATAATAAATAGTAAAAGATGATGAAAGGAAATAATGATAGTGAAAATAATATTAGTTTAAGTACAGAGACTAAAAATGTTTATTTAAAAATGAGAGGGAAAAAAATAGGAAAGAGAGAGAAAAGGAACTTCAACTATAAATAATATAAGGGGGCCAAGCGGTGTGTTTATGTTGGACTACCACATTAATTTTGTTTTATTTAACCAAATTTGTGTCAGTGTGTGTGGTCGAGAGGAAATGGGGGAGCTTTTTTGTTGTTTTGTATTTGTTGTGGGTGCTGCTTTATGTTTTTGTGTTTAGTTTTTATCCTGATTATTGTATTTTGTTAAAAGTTATATTCTGTTGTCCTTTTTAAAGTGCTTTATAAATGAAATTGGTATGGTATGAAAACAGAAAATATCTATGTGATTTAAAATGGCATGAACTGATATAATATCTGAGTAGTAACTTCAGTTTTTTTATTGATTTTTATCTTACTAGAAATGGTTTGACTTTTAATCAAATTTAAGGTAGTATCGATAATTTAATAAGATGATCCGAGGTACATCTGGTTATTGCTGAATTTGAATGTAGCTGCTGTATGCATTTTTCTAGTCTTCGTCATCTTCATCAATATTAAAAGTGCCACTTGAAGACAATTGATTATTTTCATATTTTAATTTAGGGTAAGGCATTTCTAAGTACTTTTTACTTCAGCCTAAACACTTTCGGTCATGATCTATGGGGTTTTTAGTCTATGTTTTGTTTTCTTTTGTTTTGTAGTGCTGCAAAATGACAGAATAAACTACTACTTCTGCTAAAAATCTGGGTCAAAATGGCACTAAAATAATAATAATTTAAAAAACAACTTGTTCTTCTCGCAAATATTTTTCCGCTCTTGTAATCGAAACCCATCAAATGTCAAAACTACTGTGACTCCTAGTGGATGTTTTTCTAAACTCATTTGATTTTCATTTAACAAATTCTTGTGTTTTAATTTTTGTAATCTTTTTTTCCAAATCCTCCAATTTCTGTGATGCATTTGCCTTTAACTTTACAGCATCCAGAGCTCTTAATGTTTCTTCTTTGTATTGATTTGTGCCGTAATTTCATTGGGGTCAGAGGTCTTATTGCAGTAATTAATCCTGTTTACTTCCTGTTGTTCCTTCAGATTGTTCAAACGAGCAGACGGTTAAGTATGGAGACAATTACCATATTCCTCTGGACCTGCCCCCTTCTCCTCCTGCTCCCACCCTCACCGTGGAGTACAGGCCCATCTCTGTGGAAGCCAACCAGACCTCCAAGTGAGTCAAAACTAGACTGCAATATAGGTTAAGCGAATATATTTTGCCTTTTAAATAAATTGCTAATCATGAGCATAATAAAATACTGTTTACAATTAATTATGCATATTAGTAACTATAGTAATCTGAGTTTTCAGTCCTGCACAGCTCACATGTCAGTTTAGAGATGACTGATTTACAAATGGTTCCTTCTTATGCAAATTACAATCCATCCGATCAATTCTGAGCCTCCCAAATAAATTCAGTTTAGAAATTGGAGGATAAGTCAATAATAGTATGGATTATTGATACTTTGCAGCTGATGTCATCAATGTTCCCTGGGGAGTGTGATACTAACTGCAGGCTCAGCTCTGGAGAACTGATGTAGCTGGAGCTGATTCGTGCAGTTAAACAAGTCGCTCTCAAATAACAGTCACAAGAGAGCATTAGCCAACAGTTTTTCAGTTTGTCACTCTATGGTGGCCGCACCGGCTTGTCAAAGCCTGATCTTGCCAGATCTTAGAAGCAAAGCAGAGCGGGGTCTCTGTAGTACTTGGACGGGAGACCACTGGGAACATCTGGTGCCACAGGGGGGCGCCAGTGGCTAAAACTGTCATTGTGTCCTTAGGCAAGACACTTCACCCACATTGCTGAGTATGAGAGTGGTGTGTGTGTGTGTGTGAGTGTTGGTGTTGGTCAGAGGAGCAGATGGCGCAGATTAGCTTCCTTGCTTCCATGAGTCTGCCCCAGGGCAGCTGTGGCTACTATAGTAGTTTACTGCTACTCAGTGTGGAGTGAAAGAATAATAAACTGTAAAGCACTTTGGGTGTTTTGATAGGCGTTTTATAAATGTATTTAATTTAAAAATTAATTAATTAACAGGACCCTGAACGCTCGTACAGATCACAGGTTCCTGAAAATGTGTTTTAAAATCCATTTTGTATTTCTTCTTGAGTTTTCAGACAATCTTAAATCTTTTTTTTTCTCTGTTTGCTAATGTGTGCAGTGTGTCATCACATTAACTGCAGAACATTCTAACATAGAGATACACGTATTATTCTGGCAGGCGCCTCAGGTCAATTCCAGCCTGGACCAACAGACTCAGGGACAGCTTCTTCCCCAAAACTGTCGCCATACTTAATGAGAACTGTTAATTTGTTTTTTATTTATTATTCTTGCACTTTGACAGAGCAGCTCTGAATTTCATTATACTATTGTATAATGACAATAAAGGCTTTCTATTCTATTTCTCTTCTACTCTATGTAGAACACACCAAGCATAATGTCACTGCAAAGAGGCCATGTCCTAATTATTGTTGCTTCTTTTATATAATGTATGAGTAAAACGCAACTTTGTTCTGTTCTATAAATGAAATACATCTAAAATAATTAAAATTGTGTGTCTAAAGTTACAGTCAAAAGATCTGAAGTAAAACGCCTGTCTCTTCCCTTCAGACCGGCCCTGGTGTTGCTGGCCGCCTCAGGGACGCCCAGAGACGGATACCACGACCGAATCATCATCGGGGAGAAAATGCTTACGCTCAGAACAGTGACCGGGGCAGACGAGGGCAGCTACACCATCAGAGGAGCCAAAGGAGAGATCATGACCAAGATGTGTCTCAATGTGCGAGGTGAGTGCTCTCAAACTGAAAACACCACCTTGTGATGTCATATGGTAATACAGGAAGTGCTCCACTGTGTTTTTAAACTCCATACACCTTCAGTAAAATCATTTGGATGATTTCAGCCCTGGAATTGCCCATTGTCACTGAATTAAAGATAGTTCTTAACTTTAAAACTACCGCTTCATGGTGGAACGGAGTATATTGAGCTTTAGAGATGTAGACAGACTAATAAATCAGGATTACTCAAACATGTGTGAATGAAACAAAACACAACTCCAGGTCTGTTTCTGATGAGATAACGGTATTATAAAATGACATAAAGCTCACAAGAATCAATTTCGGGTATCACAGGATTTACTTTAATGGAGACACTGTACACAAAGTAAACTTTTATGAGCTTTTAACCGTGGAGCTTTTCACCTACAAAGAGCTTCCCACAACCTAATGATGATACCCAGTGGAATTAAGCCTTTTCAACTTATGTGAAAGGGAATACCTAAATATTCAGACAAACATGAGCGAATTGGGTGCAATATAAAAAAAACTTAAAGGGACCATAACTGTTTTTAAAGGGACAGTTTAGAATTTTGGACATATGACCTCATTTCCTAGTGAGCCAGAGTGTTGGAAACGTGTGGAGACACTTTTTAAAATATTCCATCCAGTCGTTGTATTTGCAGAGGTCGCTGGTGCTAGACTAGTGCATGTCAATGGCCATAGTTATCCTGCCACTAAAAACAGTCTTACCCACTCCACAAAACACCCGAAGCAAATCTATTATTACATCAGACTGTCGATGTAAATGTCTGTGTTGATAGAATAACGTTTGAAATAAAACTAACCTTGCGTCGCATGAATCGTCGTATGTTGAGGGACTATTTTCTCGTATATCAGTCCGTCGCTGCCAAGCTTTTTATCAGGAAGTACAACTCACTGCTTCTGCTCAGACATAAATCCTTCAAATGCAAGGTTGGTTTTACTTCTGAAATTATTCTATCGACACAGACATTCACATCGACAGTCTGGCGCAATAATAGATTTTCTTTGGGTGTTTTGTGGAGTGGGTAAGACATTGACATGCACTAGCCTAGCACCAGTGAACTCTGCAAATACAAGGACTGGATGGAATATTTACACAACTGTCTCCACATGTCTCCAACACTCTGGCTCACTAGGAAATGAGGTCGTATGTCCAAAATTCCGGACTGTCCCTTTAATTTTCTATTGCCACAGTGTAGTCCAAAACTACACTTTAGAGTCAAAATCAGAGAGAAAAGCTATTTTATTGACTGTAAATCCAGAAGTAAGTTGTGAAATGTGCTTATAAATGGATAATGTCCATGCTCTGAATACATTAAGGAGAAATTAGCTTGGATCACTGCAAAACACACTTTATTTAAAATGATCTAGTTATGTTTTAAGATGGTAAAATCCTACACGAAGTTCAACAGTTCAAAATTAATCTTGCGTATTTGTGATTCTACCAATGCTCTTGTACTCCAGAGTTGCAACACTGTGTTACGGCCCCAGGCCTTAGTTCTAATTTGTTTGTGTAATTTTTGCTGAGTTCTTTTGATTCCTGCTGCAGGAGCCCTGGTCCGTGATTGGTGGGGCAGGTCGACGCCCACCTCACCTGCAGCCACCTTACCAGCACCTGTTCGGAGCTGCTGGCCTTGGTGGCCAGTATGCCATTTTGTTTCTTGTGTGTGTAGTTTAGTTTAGTTCTGTTTTGTGCCTTTTTTTATTTGGTCACTCGATTCTGTTTGTGGGTTTATGTGGTTTAATTTGGGGAACTTGTGTTTTAGTTTAGTGTGTGTCCCTAAGTTTTACCACTTGTTTTTTTGTAAGCCTGCGTGACCCCTTTTGTGGCACAGAACTCTGTTTATTCTGTTGTTCTCTTTCTTGGTTTAGGTTGCTTTCTGTATATTTTTAGTCTTTTGTTAATTTACCTTTACATTCCTGTTAATTAAACATTATTTGATTTATTCCATTTTACATCTTGTTTTTTATTTTTGTTACTTCCCTCACCCCAAACGAGCTGGGTCGTAACAAATTGGGGGCTTGTCCGGGATAGTAATACCCATTCCCACCTTAAATAAATTGGTAATGGTTAATAGGTTTGTATGAGGTAAGTTTTTCAATTGGCTTGTTTTTTGAAATTTTGAATTTGGTGCTTGGTATATGGTGATTGGGTGGTGGAACGGGTGCTAATTTTGCCTGTGACTAATGTTTGGTGCCAGTTATGTGTTTGTTTGAGTGTGCTCCAGGTGTGGTTTGTGTCCGGCCTGATCACCCGTTCACACACCGCCTTCTGAGCTTCTCTCATTTTCCAGATTCCTTGGGATGGGGCTTGGTTCCTAGGGCTCCTGGCCCATCTCATTGGGGTAGTGGAACAGCTAATACTGCTGCCTGAACTGTACCCTGGTAACCTATAGCCCTGGCCCATGCACTGACTTACCTTCCACCTTTCAGTCACCTGCTCCCTTAGTAAGTATAACATCAACATCTTTTATTACAAAACTAGTTTTGTAACATAAGGGGGAGGGTGTTACGGCCCCAGGCCTTAGTTCTAATTTGTTTGTGTCATTTTTGCTGAGTTCTTTTGATTCCTGCTGCAGGAGCCCTGGTCT